CGGGCCTGGCTAGGGGCCGGGGTTAGACCCTCGCTAGACCTTCGGAGCCGGGGTGAGAGGTGTCCATACTGCTGCGCCCTTAAATCTCTTTCTTGGGCCAAGCTGGAAGCGCGCCCCAAGTCTAGAGCTCCGGCTTCAGTTGCGAATTCCCCATCCCAAGATTGAAGGGGGCGGGGTAGCTTCCCAAATTCTCCATCACCAAGCTCTGGGCTCGCCTTTCCCTGGCATGTTTGCCCCTCAGCTGGGTCTCCGACTCTCCTTTTGCGAGGCGACCGGGTTTTCTGGATGCAGAGTCCCGGCCTTCCCGCAACCCGCTTGGGGAGGGGTTTCCGGAAATGCGCCGCGTCGGGGAGGCTCCCAGGGTTTTCCTGTGACATGGGCAGGGGGCGAACCCCGCGCCAGTCTTTCCCCTGCAAAGCCTCGCAGCAGCCAGGCAAGGAGGGCGTGGGGAAACAGGGAGACACTCACAGGGCGCGCGGGTGGGACCCAGCCCTTCGAGGTAAGACTTCGAGGAAATGCGCCGGCAACAGTCACGGATGCGAGATCGAACGCCGACCTCCGCAAGCGCCTCTCCCTGGGTAGTTCCGAGAGAGGGACAAGCCGGCTGCAGCTGGGAGCGGTTGGGCCGGCTCCTCGGACGCCCCGGCACTCTGGAACTGGCTTTGGAGCCCCTTCTCCCTGTGTTCCCATCCAAATTATGACACCTCCTATGTGGACCCACGCTGGGTAAGTTCCTGTTCCACCCAGTGCCCTACCTGCCCCGCCACGCAGCTGCACAGCCCCTACTCCCTTCCAGTCCGCAGCCCAGCCCCTCCCTCCCCCCCGCCAAGGATCCAGCTGTGTGTCCTCTCTCAGTCTCTCCCAGTGTACAGTGTCCGGGCGTATGGACAGATTTCACTAGCTCAGCCTAAGGTATAGCCCTACCCCTCTCCAACACCGTGGACAGCCTGATACCCCAGATTAGCTCAGAAATGGAGAGGGGGACAGATTGGGCGTTAAGGGGAGCGGGTTGTCCATGGAAGGCTGGAGCCGAGGTTAATGCTGGAGCGGACACACAGGAGGTCTCACAGAAGGGAGGCAAAAAGGTTCCCTGGCTCTGCCATCTCTCTGAGGAATAACATCAAGCTTTTCTTCAATTGATTTTTTTACTCTCATTCTTAGCCCAATGTGGCCACTTCCCCCTCCTCCAGCCAGAGTAGGAATTTGGAGGGCAGGATGGGGGCGCGGGCAGCCTAGCAGGGGCTCTTCTGCTCTACCCACTGAACCACAGGACCTCCCACAGTGGGAGGAATGACTAGGGTGATGACATCACTGGTAGCTGGCATTTTTACTTTTGAGCAGCTCTGAGCTGACAGTTCTCTGCACAGATGCTGGAGGCCTAATCCCTGAGTGTCCTTGGGTCTCCTTGAGAAGAAGTGTTCTTAACGAGCTGTGAGCCCAGCCCGCCCTGGTCTACCAGCCACAGGAGGGAAGACCTCCATTTAACACACTTCTTTGGGCTTGTTTGTCTAGCTGGGAGTTAGTCTGCCTTAACTCCGCTCAGGAAGTCAGCCCATATAGCCTTCCCCGTGACCTATGGTAGAGACATCCGCTCCTCTGGGAACCCTTTCCCAGTCACCAAAACCTTGGCCATGTCCCTGCCTTTGGTTCCCATGGTCCATTAGCTCCTGTGACCCTGAGCACTGATTACACAGTGCAGTCTGTGCCCTGAGGGTGGAGCAGGTCCACCTTATCTCAGGGACCTCTCCACCAACACAAGGGTGGACAGAAAGCAGATCAATAAGTTTCAACTCTACAAATGAGTGAGGGACCCTAGAAGTTAGCTAATGGCATTGGAGGGGATGCTTGGAGGAGATGGAGGATAAGACCAAGATTCTGCTTCCTGGGATACTGCTGCCACAGGCTGGCCAGGGGTCAGGGTCTCTTAATTCCTCCCCACCAGCACCTCACTCACCCTCAATTTCGTTAGTGGCACCCATTCACCACTGTCTAGGACCAACTTTGGGTGCAGCAATGACTATTAGATAAATCAGGCCCTTGGAAAACCCTGATGAGGTCTAGCTCCTCCTGTCTCCTTTATGTGGAAATTCTAATGGAGGACATTGATGGTATGCCAACAGTCCAGGGGACAGAGGAGGAAGAAGAGCCCCAGGTCTTGCCCTTGGTGGGCTTCAAGTTGTGAGGAAGCTAGACTCATTCTCAGGAATAGGGCATGAAAATAGAGCAGGAAAACTGAAGACAGCAAATAAATGTGTACTAAATCATGTCCCCAACCATGAGAGATTTCAGAGGGAGCTATTGCTGGCCTTGGAGTAGCTAGGGAGGGCTTCCTGGAGGAGGGGGCCAGACTTGATGAGAGACGTATATCCAACACTTTACACCTTTTTGTGGTTGTTAAACCACATGAAATTTTGATTTTTGTGAGCCCAATATTGTCAAATTTTGGCGATTTCACATAGGTCACCCTAACATTCTTACTCCCATTTGCAGGCAAGAGAACTAAAGCACAGAGAGGTTAAGTGACTTGCCAAATGCCCCATAGCAAGAAAACGGTGAAGCTGGAATTCCAAACAAGGGCTCCATAGGGCAGGCTGTGCCCTACTGCCCATCTGCTCATGCAGGTGGGGTAGGGGGCAGGCACAGGTGGAGGAAGGAGAAGGAGAGAGAAGGTGAAGAATGGAGAGAGAATAAATAGGACCCCCACATTCTGTAATCTCCCCATTGCTCCACCCGGGTCTCACGCCTTCTCCTTTCCAGCAATGCCTAGGAGGCCTGGGGTCTGCTCTGGTTCCTTTGATAACATGGTAGCCAGGCCCTGGGGACCCCAGCAAGGGAAAGGCCCTGTCTCAGGACTGAAATGTGGAGAAGACCTGCTGCTCTAACCATGGGTGGGGGACTAGGGGACTTCGGAGACAAATGGGCTGCTGCAGGGCTACAGCAGACCGGGGTATTCCTGGAATGCAAACGTAGAAAACATCTGAGTCTAAGAGAGAAGGGGACTGGGGAGGATGGGTTTCCTTCCCTGGAACGGACACTGAATATCAGTGAAAGTTAGAAGACCTGCTGGGAGTAGAAGTGGAGAATGTAGCTGATTGTATAAATCAACCTCAGACCTTATTTGTGGGGGACCTAGATGGGCAGAGGGGGATGGGAAATTCTGGACGCTTATTTGCTTATGGGCAGAGGACATTGTTCTTGCTTGGAGAGGCAGCTCTGGGGTAGGGCAGTGGCTCCCACAGCCTGCAATGCCAAAGTTTTGGCCAGTTCTGCTTGAAATGAAATGAAACACACACACACACACACACACACACACAGAGAGAGAGAGAGAGAGAGAGAGAGAGAGAGAGAGAACAATGTTGGATATTTTAGGGTAAGGTTGCCAACTGTCCTTTCTTAGAAGGCTGTCTTTATTCTAAGGTTAAATCCTTGCCACATTCTCTGTGTTAAAATGCCCTTTTATGAAATCATGGTGCTAGAAGATGCTGTTTTTTCAATGTCGTTGGCTAAATAAAAAGTTGGCACTGGGTTCTGTGTTTGTTCCCAAAAATCATTTTTGAAATGTTATTGATCTGTAAGTTCCAAAAGTCTGGGAACCCCTGTTGTAAACAATAGAGCATGAGACTGAGAAACAAAAGCTGGAGAAGTAAATACTTCTCTGTCAGTTACTGCCTGTGTATGCCTCAATCTTCCTCGTGTGTAAAATGGGTTTAATGATATGCACCTCAAAAGTTATTGCTAAGACTATAAGAGCAAATGAATGCACCTAGCATAGCATCTCATTTGTAGTAAGTTCTCAGTAAACACTGAATGATGAAATGATAGAATGAAACCTGCATTACCCAGTGGAGAGGAAGGCACCTGGCCTTTGGAATCCAATTTAGGTCATATCGTCATCTTAAAACTTTCTGTTGGGATGAAAGGGATGTTTTATACAAGATTCTTTCCTTTGAACTCTCCATCCCTGACAAGCCCTGGCTGGGTCTCCAGAAGACAGACTTCCTTCTCTCTGGGACAGGAACTTGCTGTGGCCCCAAGCTCTATAGCAAGCTTGTTCAACCCACAGCCCACGGACCTCATGCAGCCCAGGACGGCTTTCAATGTAGCCCAACACAAACTTGTAAACTTTCTTAAAACGTTATGAGATTTTTTTGCGATTTTTTTTTTTTTTAGCTCATCAGCTATTGTTAATGTTAGTATATTTTATGTGTGGCCCAAGACAATTCTTCTTCCTCCAGTGTGGCCCAGGGAAGGCAAAAGATTGAACACCCCTGCTGTATAGGCAGCTGCTAACTCAGAGGCCATACCCTTGACCCTGTGCTCAAGACCCTCTGAGAAGGCGGAGGGGCGTGGGGAGTGGTATCCATACATACATGCCACTTCATCTTTTTGCTCAGTGTGGATACAGTCCTGCCCTTCTGCTCTCCCCCAAGGCGGGTCTGCTCTGTAGGGCTGGACAGGGATCAGGAACATACAGACTTCCCGCTGGGAGTCCCGACCTGGAGACAAGGCCTCTAAGAAAGAATACTGAAATCAGCACCATGCCCTTGGGTTTTCTGTCCCGAGGCTTCCTGATAAAGAAACTGGAAGAAAAAAAAAAGAAAAGAAAAGAAAAAGAAACTGGAAGGGGAGGGGGCATGCAGGGAGCAACCAGACTGGATGTAGATGTTCTGGGAAACAAACCAGCCAGCCAGTGTTGACCAAGCCCTTGGGTGCCCAGCCCTGTGCACAGCTACACATGGATGAAGGCCAAGAAGGCAGAGATATGCCCTAGTTTGCGCGGTACCTGGTCTGGTCAAAGCAGCAAAAGATCATCCCAGAGGTTTGTAATCAAGGGTCAGAGGGAGTGGTTCAGAAGCTTGGGTCAATGATCCTCTTGAATAGAGTCAAGGTGGGTTTCCTGGAGGAAATGGAAAATGGTGTGTGTGTGTGTGTGTGTGTGTGTGTGTGTGTGCGCACGCGTGTGCTTATTATGGAGGAAACAGTGAATGGAGTAGCCTGGCATGGATAAGGCCTGCAGCATTCTCACAGTGGGGTCATCAAGGATAGGGCTGGGGGCAGGTGTCCAATTCACCTGCAACAGCTTTTGCCCTAAGCTAGCCCTAAGAGAAAGTCCTGCTGTATTATACTCGGTCCTTCTGATCCCCCCACTCCTAGCACCCTCAACCCCAGTAGGTGACACTTGCTATAAAAAAGGCCTGGGAGCCCCCATGCCCATCACATTAAGGTGTTAGTGAACAAGAGACCCCCTACAGGCCCAGCTTCCTATTGGGCTTGCCATCTGCTTTCTCTTCAGTTCTGCCTGGTTTCTTTAGGATCTAGGATCATGAGCTATCGTATTGTCCTCTTCTCTATCCCCTGCCTCTGTGCAGGACTCCACCTCTGAGCACCTGGAGCCCAGCAGAGCCCAAAGCCCTTTCATCTCCAGGCCAGCCCCAGCTGCATTGCCCTTGATCTCTCTACTCCCCACCATCCTGGACGCTCGGCTGTTCCCTGGGGACTCTGCCAGGGCACCGGGTGGGACCTCTTCCCCCTCCCACCCCGGGGAGCCTGGAGGAAGATGTGCTGACAGCTCAGCCAGGTCTGGACTGTGTCTCTGTGTCCTTCTGGGGCTCCAGGACGTCTGGGCCACCTGGACTCAGAGCCAGGCCAGAGAGGGACGCATTGGGAGGGGCAGGCCCTGAGGTGCCAACTGAGCAGAGCTGCCAAGAAATAAGTACCACAGACTCCTCTTTTCAAAGTCTGGAATTCACAATATATCAGGGATGAAGTGGGTTCAGACAGGGGCCTCTGAGGGTGGTTTCACAGCTTGGGCTGGAGGCGCCAGGAAGGGAAAGAAGGAAGAGACAGACTAGACTGGGCGATGGGGGAAGAGACTGCAAATGGGGCTGGGTGCGGTGGTAGAAAGAGAGGTGGTGGGCAGCTGGAGAGTTGGGGCTTTACCTGGGACCCTGAGATGGCCCAGGGACTGGACTTGGCTCAGTACCCCACTAACACTGGGCTCCTCCACTCTACCCAGCCTTGCCCAGGCAGTACTCCCTACCATGCCCTCAGTCCTCTCCCTGACTTATCCACATTTTCTTCCTCCCCCAATTTCACAGGATCCCATTTCTCTGTTCAACGTGTGGAGTACCTGTTATCTGATGCTATATGACCCAGTCCCTAATCTCCAGGCACCTCCAGGCTGTGGCAAGGATAAGACAGACTCAAGACTTCACATAAGGAAGCCAGGGACAAGGAGCATGTGATGTGGACAAGAGGCTAGAGAGTCGAGGGGGGAGGAGGACAAGCATGAGGACGGAGCAGGGGAGATGCTCATGTCTGAAGTAGTTTTGAAGCAAGCAGGTGTGACTTGTAGAAGTGGAGGCAGGGAGGTGGGGCACGCCAGGTGCAGGGCCCAGTGTGAGCAGAAGAGCGGGAAAGGGAAGCCCCTGCCCTGGAGTAGGTGAGTGCCCTGGGAGACCGCAGTCCCGGGGGTCGAGGAGTGGGGAATGCGAGGACACGAGGGCAGGTGGCTCTTGAAGCAGTGGGGAATGCTGAGGGCGACTGGAGACAGGCCAGGACTTTGGGGAGGACGTTGGGTTGTGCCCTGGGAGCCGAGCGCTGTGCTCAGCTCTGCTCAGAGTGAGCAAGGAAAGAACGAGACACAATCCTTGCCCCTGGAAGCTCAAAGTGGGGTGACAGAGATGAAAGTAATGCTGTGAAACAAGTCATCCTGCCAGAAGCAGGGGCCTGGACCCCTGACTGCTACAGGGACAGGGACTGAGTAATAGCCAGGCTCGAGTTTGAGAGAGCTGCTCTCTCTGGTTCCCTGCAAAGCACATCTTCGTACAGGCCCCATGGCCCAGCCTCCCTCCCACAAGCCCCATGCATCAGGGTAACCTGCTATTACATGAGCCTTCCACTGGATGCCTTCCAGAAAGAGACAGCTCCACTGTGTAATGAGAGCTGTGCCCCAGGCCACCCTGCAGGATCCAGAGAAGAGGCAGAGCCAGGGAGAGGGCAATGGAGACTGCCACATAAGCTATGACAGACGTGGTGACAGGGGCTGTCATGGAGGCTGTGATAGAGACTGTGGTGTGGACTGTTATACACACCGTCACAAGGTCTGTGCTAGACACTGTGACAGGGACTATGACAGAGGCTATGATAGGGACTGTGACAGGGGCTGTGATAGAGACTGTAACAGAGACTGTGACAGAGGCTGTGATAGAGGCTGTGATAGAGACTGTGACAAAGGCTGTGACAGAGGCTGGGATAGAAGCTGTGACAGAGGCTGTGACGGAGACAGTGACGGAGGCTGTGACGGATGCTGTGATATGGGCTGTGATAGAGGCTGTGACAAGGGCTGTGACAGAGGCTGTGATAGAGGCTGTGAAAGAGGCTGTGACAAGGGCTGTGACAGAGGCTGTGACAGAGGCTGTGACAAGTGCTGTGACAAGTGCTGTGACAGGCTGTGACAAGTGCTGTGACAGGCTGGGATAGAGGCTGTGACAGAGGCTGTGACGGAGGCTGTGATGGAGGCTGTGACAGAGACAGTGACGGAGGCTGTGATGGATGCTGTGACATGGACTGTGATAGAGGCTGTGACAAGGGCTGTGACAGAGGCTATGACAAGTGCTATGACAGAGGCTGTGACAAGGGCTGTGACAGAGGCTGTGACAAGTGCTATGACAGAGGCTGTGACAAGGGCTGTGACAGAGGCTGTGACAAGTGCTGTGACAGAGGCTGGGATAGAGGCTGTGACAGAGGCTGTGACGGAGGCTGTGATGGAGGCTGTGACGGAGACAGTGACGGAGGCTGTGACGGATGCTGTGACATGGGCTGTGACAGAGGCTGTGACAAGGGCTGTGACAGAGGCTGTGACAAGTGCTGTGACAAGGGCTGTGACAGAGGCTGTGACGGATGCTGTGACATGGGCTGTGATAGAGGCTGTGACAGATGCTGTGGTAGAGGCTGTGACAGAGACTGTGATGGAGGCTGTGATAGAGGCTGTGACATGGGCTCTGACAGAGGCTGTGACAGAGGCTGTGACAGATGTTGTGACAAAGGGTGTGACGGAGACTGTGATGGAGGCTGTGACATGGGCTGTGACAGAGGCTGTGACAGAGGCTGTGATAGAGACTGATAGGAGCTGTGACAGAGGCTGTGACAGAGACTATGATAGAGGCTGTGATAGAGGCTGTGGCAGAGACTATGATAGAGGCTGTGATAGAGGCTGTGACAGAGGCCATGACAAGGGCTGTGACAGAAACTCTGACTGGGACTGTAACAGGAATTGTGACAGGGGCTGT